CCTTCTGTCATCAGGAATTAGGGAACCACAAACTAAGAAAAACCAAGGAGACTTGATTCCACACCCATGGGGTTAGCAAACATTTATTTATTTATTGGTATCAGGAATCGAACCCAGGACCTTGCGCTTGCCAGGCAAGCACTGTCCCACTGAGCTATTTTAACAATAGTGTCTGGGGATGTAATGCAGCGGTAGAGCTCACTTAATCTGTGCCTTGGGATCCATTCTCAACACCAAGAATAAAATAAAATAAAATAGGGGCCTGGGGATTTAGCTTAGTGTCATAAGCGCCAGCCTGGCAAGTGCAAGGTCCTGAGTTCGATTCCTGGTACAAAAAAATAAAATAAAATATTGACAATACACAGGTTAATAAAGCTGTGCAACCACACACCCCATGGTAGGGAACTAAATTAGTGCATGCGCCACCCAGAGCAATTGGACAATATCTAGTACAGATGAAAGTTAGCATACCCTATAGCCAGTAGTTCAACTCCTAGGAATATAGAAACTCCACAGATGCTTGGCCACACAACCCACAGACACATGCATAAGGACGTTCTTAGTAGCAGTGCTCGTGATATGGTAAACTGGAAATGACTCTAGCAGCAAAGGACCATGCAGTATGATCACATGGTGGAATGCTGCGCAGAGTGTAAATGAAGGAGCCAGGGCTGCACATTTCCTTGTGGATACATCTCAGAAAACATGGTGATGTGCCTATAGTTCCAGCAAGTAGAGAGGCTGAGGCAGGAGGATCTGTAAATTGGAGGCCAGCCTAGGCCACTTAGCAAGACCATGTCTCTGAAATAAAATATAAAAAGGTGTGGGGATGTAGCTTAGTGGTCGAGTGCCCCATCCACAGTACTACCCCCCAAATAAAAACATGTTAGAATTGAGAGGAAGAGGGGCTGGGGATTTAGCTCAGCAGCAAAAGCGCCTGCCTGGCAAGCGCAAGGTCGTGAGTTCGGTTCCCGGTACCAGAGAAAAACCAAAAAAAAAAAAAAGAATTGAGAGGAAGAGACATGTTGTACAGTATACCTTCTTCCATAAGTTTTCAAACAAACATGGAAAATAATAGCATATATCATTGTGCATATATAGGGTAGGAACTCCTTACCACTGGTTGCTTCTGGACCAAGCATAAAGGGAGCAGGATTTAGGAGGTGTAAAATGGGATGTTTTAAAAATTCTGCTTTATGGGGCTGGGGATTTAGCTCAGC